GTAAGTTAAGTTACCTTTTCAAACCTGACGGTCTATAGCAGGGGTCTCCAAACTACGGCCCGCGAGGTTCTCTCATCCGGCCCGCGGAAATCCTTTTTTGTCCACGGAAAAAAACGTATGTTGGTGATGGCTGAGGAACTTTGTCCAGAAAAATTAAAGACATGCCCGGAAGAAACTGGCCCCCGAACTGAAATTTGATAGTTAATGCGGCCCTCGGACTGAAAAGTTTGGAGACCCCTGGTCCTATAAGGCGAACTAGGCGTCGCCTAGGGCGCCATCCCTAGGTGGGCGCAAAAGGTTAATCGCTATTATCAAAAATTACCTAATAGTTAATAACTTTTATAAAGGAGTAGCGATCCATTTCAATTCTGCACCCTCACCCCAAAATGAGGTCTATATAGGCCCTTATTTATTCGCGATGGTTAAAATGCAACCCTACCTCCCTAATTTGGAAAGGTCGGGGCGCTTTTTACCAGTCACTTTGCATTTAAATTTGGTGTCATATAATTGATGTAATTTAAATTTCGAACATTTTAATAGGGCTTGTAAGCCTCGTTTTCTCTGACTTTGAATTAGAAATCTGTCCTGGTGTATAGAGTTTTGTAATGACGGGGTGTTAAAAGTATTGTGACTTGTTTGGTAAGTTTTGATGAATTATTCAGATTTGGGAGTAACGGCGGAAGGCTGTTGCTGAGAGGATTCGTAAAATATCTAAGTGTTAAAGTGTCTGGTTCTTTATTTGGCTGTTGTGTAGTTGTAGGTTTAGTGGAATATGATTGGTAGTAGAGAAATGAGAATGCAGGTGATGAAGTATCGTAGTTCGGGAGTTCGGGAGTATTGATTCTTGTGGTATTAAGGTATCGAATGATATTGACTGTTAAAGTGTAGTAGTAGGTCCAGTGAAATCGTTGTTGATTGGGAGTACCGTTTGTAGAGCTTGGTGAAGTTAAACGAGTTGGTGTCGTCGTTCTGGAGCATCGATTATGTTTGGGTATCGAAGTTTGATGTGTGTTGTGAATGTAGTAGGGTACGGGTTCCCAAACTGGGGGTCGCGAAGGACTTTCTGGGGGGGGGGGGTGTCGCCAACTGGTATACTAAACCTTAGTAATGAGAAACAAAACATAAATATTTTGAAGTATATCTGAAATTCGGCTTTACTAACATCACATAGAGAAGAAGCAATGCGTACTGTACAAAGTAGTTTTCAGTCAAGAGTTATGAAATCTTCAAAACTAAAACGTCATTGTATAATTTATGTTCTACTTTTTAGTGCATTATTACATAAAAGCTTGTTATTAAAACGTTTTTTTATGAATTTCTAATAGTAAAACAAGTGATTCATGTTAATAGTAGCATTGGTTTGATAACGATTTTTTTTTTCAAATTTTTCGTAATTAAGTAATTTACCGCTCTCCATGTCTTTAACAAACAAAAAAAAGAATTTATTTTTCGAAACAAGCCACTTCTTCAAGCAAGAAATAGGCTGGATTTTCCTTTCAGTTTTACATTTAGCTCGTTTAGTTTCTTTATGATATCCACCATGAAGTTGAATTTTACAATTCCGAATGGACAATTGAATAGGAAGTACAGTAAAATAGGGAGTAACTAAATAGTCTAATAGAATAGTGAGTGTTAATTGTTTGTGTTTATTATTATATCGTTCATTACCGAGTATTGCAGAACAATATTTTTATGAGTTTTAAAATAAAATAAAATAACTATTAATATTTGTGCATGGAGCTGAGGAGCCGCATCTTGACATCAAAGGAGCCACATGCGGCTCGCGGCCAGCAGGTTGCCGACCCTTGGTCTAAACCAGGGGTCGGCAACTTTTGACGTCCAGATGCGGCTCTCCAGTTCCTTGCACAAATATTAATAGTTATATAATTTCATTTTTACTGGACGGTGGGGTACGACTTTACTCTGCGTTCAGTTGGATGGAATATAAGCCTGGTAAGAACCAAAGGATAAAAGCGAACGAAGCAAGTTATTCAAACCGATATCCAAGCCAGTTAGTCGGCGTTTGCCGTGTTGAGACCTGCCTGGCTAATGGTAGACACCTCCTCAGCCAGTGATATCCGTAAAGAAAAAAATAAAATTAAAATTAACAGCTTCTAAAGTGGATTGAGATAGTCCTAGAATAATATTATTTGATTACTAATTTTACTATTCTGGCGAAACATGTCTATGTTTTTATATGAATAAATAATATTTCATATTTAAAGCTATTTATTTTAAATAACAAATCAACTTTATTTACCTAATCCTAATCAAATACCGAATATTTAGAACTAAAAATGTTGTGGCTCTTTAAAAACTGGGAAAGTTTGTAAATTGTAACTTTTGGCTCTTGACTAGCAAAAGGTTGCCTACCCCTGGTCTAAACAGTTAACGGTGTTTGATTATTTCAAAGATATCCCTTAATTCAAGGGATCCAAAATTTTTCATAATGTAGTAATTAGGAGGGTACAACTAAATGTGTGTCATTAAAATTGAATAGAACTATGATATAATAAAGCTACCATTTTTAGCTTTTCAAACAAAACCTACAGTTAAGTACTCAATAGGAAAACTATATTGTTTTAACAAGGTTATATAGTTAATATAAACGATTTGTTGTAATTATTACGTAATGAAATTTAGAATGTTTTATTTTGTTTTTAAACATGTTTATGTTACACTTGGTTAATTTAGCAATTCTTGTGAAAGTTATTTCCCTTGAATAAAATTTTGTTATTTGGATTTAATTTGGGAGGTAATTCGTTGCTTAACTTGACATTCATTTCCAGTTCCTAACCTTAGGTTGACCGCTTACATATAAATACAACTTTAAGTTATTATTTGTTATTGTAAAAATTATATAGAGCTTAAGTTCTAAACAAAATAGAATGGTTGGTTTTTTTAGCATTATCAAGTTGAAAAACATCAGTAGCCGTTGTAGATTGCAATACGTAAATGTTAGTAGACATACAGTCTTAGTCGTAAATTAAACATCTGATTATTTTCTTTTCATATTTTTCACCCTCTCCTAAAGGATTCATATATAACAATTTTAGGCTGGAATCTATAACATTTATAACCTTTTATTTTTCAAAACAAAAAAATTGTTACATAATCACCCAATATAGACATTTTAAAATTATAACTAAAAACAGTCAAGCTTAAAACAAGTAAGTTCCGTTTTGGAAATCACCTTGGGAGGACTGCAGTGAGTCCAACACTACAAGAACTTTTTTTTTCAGTGGGTTTTTTTCCAAACTGTTTTCCTCCAGGGAGGGGGGGGGGGGGAAGAACTTAAAATTTTCTAAGGGGGGGAGGGGGGGGGGGCTATGTCGTAAAGTACAAAGTAGACTCGTGGACTTAGCAACAATTTCAATAAAATATGATTACGCTTGTAAACTGGAATTGAAGGAATTGCTACAAACTTTTGAGATGAAGGAGGCAAGTAAAATTTGATTTTGATGTCTACTTATAACGTGTATGCAATTGATAATAAATTAATACGTCACTTTTCATGAATTGTTTTCTTATAGGATATGTTTTAGTAATTAATTTGTGTGAAAGGGGGCGTTTTATTAAGTTTTGCCTAGGGCGCTAAATAACCAGGCGCCGGCACTGTCTATATGGCAAGTGAAGTAGAGTTCACTTGTTTCTGTGACCTCGGCATATGAAGAGATAGTGTGGTCAGCACTATGCCCAGCCTTTACTTTCCCTAACGTGAGTTAGGTACCCAATCAGGCGCTGGGTGGAACCAGGGACGGTCTACTGACTTGAACCCGGATTCGAACTCTAGACTTACGGGTTAGCAGTCCAGCTTTTATTACTTTTATACTTAAAACCTCAACATAAACTCTCAAACTCTGTTGGGCCGTTTTACTTAAGATAACATTGTGCAACATGTGGCATCATATCTTAGCATAAGAAAAAAATATCTCTGTGATATTAGATAATGTTTAAGGATGTAAAGAAATACAATCTTAAATCTGCATAGGATATCGTCTTACATACATATTTATATGTGGTATTTCTGTCTGTATGAATAAACGTGTTTTGACGTACAAGAGATTTAGACAAAAATTTGCAAGTCTAAATCTTATCATTAGTGGGATAGGGTCCTAGCTATACATAGATACAAGGGGATTCCCGTTTTAGGTAGGATCAGATATATTGGTCAGTCTGCCAGCACCAATGGTCTTATAATTTTGTAAAGTTAGAGCATAGGGTCAGAGCATGATAAGAGGATTATAATTTGTGCAACGTTAGAATCTATGGGATTTCATGGCCTGTGTGTAGATATACAGCCCTAAAAATAGCTCACGGCAAATATAGATTGTATCAGTAGCATAAAGTGAGAGAGACTTTTGCTTAAAATAAAAATGGAACTGAGGTAAAAATTAAGCGCCCTTTTCTGTGCTCCGAAATGGATAGCTAAGTCACGAACAGCTATACATTTGGTGAACGTTTTGTCATATATCATGTAAAAGCATTACGAGGCAATATTTCCAAGACAGAATTTTTTTTTCTGTTAAAGAGTCGTCCCTTTCTCGCTTTCAAGATCTTTAATTCCTATCCCTTAAATCTAACCCTAACCTTAACTTCGATTGTATTATTTCAAAACCACCTACCCGTATCCCAGTTTTAATAGTGTATAATCAATAGCGATCAAAAGTATTTACATGCTTAGCAACAAGAAATTGATGAATAAGAATCTATAGCCACACGGTACCTAATATTTGTGTGAGTGTTTAACAGAGTACCGCTACCCCTTAGGTATAATTCAGTCTGTGTGCGTGAGTGTGTTTAATAGCACACAGCTACCCCTAATGTACTCACCAATCCCAGTGTATATTGTGTGAGTGTTTAACAGAGTGCCGCTACCCCTTAAGAATAATGCTAATGTGCGTGAGTTTGTTAAACAGAGTACCTCTACCACTTATGTACTCACCCGGCAATGTGTGTGAGTATGTTTAAAAGAACACCACCACCACGCATGTACTCACCTATGCCTGCCCCCACCACCACACGCCCAGCCAGGAGGGCGAACTTATCCTTGGCCACCGCCATCATGATCGAGCCCAGGGTGAACATGAGGGAGGCGCCCATGATGACAGGGCGCCGCCCCAGACGGTCGTTTAAAAATCCCCCGACCAAAGCGAAGATGGCAGCGGCTCCGATGGTGACACTGACGATTAACTCTTGCCAGACGGTCGAGAGACTATGGACAACAAGATTCCATGATAAGTTTTTCTTGTACATACTTTTAAAAATGTTAATACCAAACTCCGTCTTTACATTGAGGAGATTCATAATTAGAAGAAAAACCTACACGTCACAAAAATTCTATTAAATATTATAATCATAGAGACAGTTAAACTCTACTCCATCTGCACTATTGGCAACCATGTTCCATGAAGGAACTTAATCTGTTATTTAAGTATAAAGCAGTATGAAATTACTTTAAATCATCGTGTTAAAGTATTTCCATACCATATGAATGGCATCTAAGACACTTCTGATAAAAACTCTCCAACTATGTTAAAGTATTTTACTCCATATATATAGTATGTAAGACACTTCTTATAAAAACTCTCCACCAATGTTAAAGTATTTTATACCATATATATGGCATACAAGACACTTCTAACAGCAACTCTCAACTCACCTGAATGAATTCCTCAACAGAATCATAGCGCCGGAAATGACCCCCGTGTCGTACCCGAACAAAAACCCACCCAGGGCGGCGAAGAACGTCAGGATGTAAATAAATGCCGGCGTCTTGGCGTGGGGGAGGAGGTTGTCGATCTTCAGGTTCAGGTCCATCTTCTCATCGTCCGAATCCCCGGTCAGTTTGGCCGGCCTGGGGAGTCCGTTCTGTCCGTTCCTGCCCGGGGCCATCTTCCCCCGGTCCGTTGATTACCTGACGTGTGTGCTGGGTCGTCCCTGTGCCCACACTTGCATCCAATACGTCGTCTGCTAGATGACCTCGATTTCCTGGAGGAAATGAAATTCATTAAAGACGAGGAAGAGGCTGGTGTGGGTCTGAATTCTCTACAGAGAAAATGTCTGAACTTTTGTGGATTTCACGTACATTTGTATTACATGTGTTAGGTAATAATGATTTTTTTAAAATTACAAAATTTTAAAATATGTAAAAATAAAGTAATAATACAATTTTTAAAAAGTGTATAATAGTTGTTGTATCTATTCTTATCCTATACTACTGTTATATTTTATCACATCGATTAATTTTCAATTATTTTTTTTACAAATTTCTAAACATAATGTATTATTATTAAAAGGTCGTCATTTAAAATATTGTCAGCAAACAGGTCTGATTGGATTTACCACGCTCAAATAACAATTGTAAATGAGTTCCGACAACATAATAGGTGTTGTATCTAGTCTTATCCTCTAGACTACTATGTTATATTTTATCACATCAATTACTTTTCAATAATTGTTGTGTTTTTTTAATTTGTAAACATAATGTATTATAATTAAAAGCTTGTCATTAAAACTATTGTCTGTAAATAGGTCTTAATTCATTTGTCACGCTATAATAATAATTGTAAAAGGATTAATGCCAATTTAATAAAATACGTGGTCTAAAAGTTAGTTGTAAAAGAGTTAACAAATCATCAGCTTTACAATGAGAATTGTACTGTATAAAATAATTTTTGCAAAAAAAATGAAGATTATAGCAGCACTTAATTCGATTTTTATAACAAACTTTGATGCATTAAATATTTAATTTCGATGCAATTTAGATTTCATAATTTTGGAAAAAATTGTTAGTATTTTTATTTTCCTTTGTAAAACAAGTCTCACAAAACCAAACCATCAAAATTGTGAAAGAATTGGCAATAGGAACCATATTCGTGAGTGGTTTTCTGAAATACTTGAAAACAGCTTCAAAACTATGCATATTTTATTTAAAAGCCTTTGGCAAATTTTTGATTCATTTTAACAAATTATATTTAATTAGCTTTTTCGTTTTTTCGGCTAATTCGTTTCCTCCTTTTTCAAAAACTATATTTTTGCTGTAGCACCACAAAAAATATCTTTTAAAAAAAAAGGAAATTAGATGTAATTACTCTAATCGTGTACAATGACAATGATTAGCTCCCACGCCATTGCAAATAAGCTGACTGGGCTGGCATATTTGGTGGATGTGTTAAAATTTTTAATTAAGAATTAAGACCTTAAGAAGGCAGTTGAAGTGTGATTTAGGTATAGCTTATGAGCTGACATGTCTAAAAAATGCTGAGTGACACTTTAGTTGTGGGCGTGTGTGGTTGTCTTGGTAACTTTATACGTAAAGTTTCCTGATGGTCCATAGGGCAGATGAAGTAGAGTACATCTGTTTATTTGACCTCGACGCCGTGCCAAGAGAAATTTTTTTCAAGTTGTCTCCAAGTAAGTTGGTTAGTATAAGAGAAAAGCTCCTAAAAGGTGTATAGAAATCGAGTATATATATTTGACCACTATACCATGCCCAGGGGACTTAGCCGTTTCCAAATCATGTCAGTTTCCCTTGAGAGCTGGGTGGACTCATGGAATGTCATCGTGTCTCTATCACAGAAAGCGAACTCTAGCTCGCAATTTAATTAGCAATCGAACACTCTTCCACTCAACCAAGAGCCGCCTCTAACTGATTATCAGGTAGACCCGTCTTAACCTCCTAACTACTTCCAACTTTTTTTTAAAAAGTATATTATAACAGATCTTTTGCGATCATGTGGCTGTAATATGCAGCATAACTTTTAGTCTACCCAACTTCAGTTTCGTTACCTCAAAAACAAACATTTTCTTTCTATTTTTTCTTTACTATTGTTTGTGATCATCTAAAGCCTTTATTTTGAACTCAACACTAAAGTACAGAAATAAATTTAAAAAATAACAAGATAAGCCGATTGGATGTTGACCCTAAAATTCTTAAAATGGGGTCAATAAAATTTGGTTCAGATGTCGTCTGTAAGAGAGGATTACTGAAACGTTAGCCACTGATGAAAGCATTGTTCCATTCGGTCTAGCAGACGGCTAAGTCCATTATTTCGATTATTTTAGTTGGATTTTATTTCATTTGATTTTTGGGTTTAGAATATACGCAGTGTAATGTATTTGCTTTATTTGTCATGTTTACTAACTTATAAGATTAAATTTGTGTTACTTCTAAAAACTTTTGTTCCTTTACTTTTTGAAAGTCGGCTCCTTGTACAATAGACCTTGGTATCCGTACTAATAAATAGCGAGAGTAGGCGATAAGACATACATTATATATATATATATATATATATATATATATATATATATATATATATATATATATATATATATATATATATATATGTATACTACTGTAATACATCCCAAAATAGAAAAATTCTTTTCATCTACGTTCTTAAAATATTGTCAACATAATGCGCAAAATGACCCGTTGACTCCAAAACTTCAACCTACTTTTATTTCTGGATTTGGTCCCACACAAAAACATTCTGCAAGACAGCGGTACTTTGATGTTGGAGTTTTCTCCTTTAGATGGGTTGTTGTCCCCAGCGGAGTTAATTCTCCCCTAGATGGGTTGTACCTAGCGGTGTTTTCTCTCCTAGATGGGTTGCTGTCCCAACTTACGAGCCTCATTAGCATGTGGGACCGAACTTGAAACTTTTGAAGCTAGTAATCATTAACTCTCCCTCCCGACCACGCCGTCCACGCAGCAGTAAACTAACCGTAAACTATTTCGTATTCCTAACCCTAAACCTCACCTTTTTGTCTAGATATCGTTATCACGTTATATAGCTATGTTAGTATGGCTAATTAACAGCACGGATGGACTAGTATGATTGTGGATTACATGGATAAGTTAAAGCAATATACATTGAATGGTATTTGTTCGTGAATAGACCTTCACATGCATTAGTGATGTAATGCCTATCGTCAAGATAGCAATCAAATTTTGTGACCCCCACACCCACTTTCAAAGACTCGCGAGTTTTATCTCTGATATTCAATTAGTACCAGGCCGTTGTCGTTAATATATACCCACTAGTGTGTAGCAAGTGAGTTAAGTTCTCTTTTCAAGAAAAGACATCGGCTTTTTAATTTTGTCTGCACAATACCCAACCGGCTTTACTTTCTTTCGGGGACGTTATACTAGCTTGAATCCGGATTGAAACTCGAGACTTTAGGGTTAGCAGTCTAGCGCTCTACCCACTAGGCCATGCCGTCCCCTAAATACCTACTAATGTAAAATATAAAAATATGTTTACTACCCCCCACCCCCAACACACACACAGACCCACATACACACACATAATCATCATTAAGCCGCGCCGTGATAATTTTTGTTAAAAATAGTTCCACTAACCCTTTCCACCTCCACCCTTTCGCCCTCCCATAAATACACACATACATTAGCCCTTGAAGCAAAGCCTTGATTATTGAAAAAAAAACAATTTAGTTCAACCAAGATAGTCTACACACTCACATAAAGCTAAGTAACTCTTCTCTAACTGGAGTAGCTTCCCCTTATTATTGGCTGCAAGTCTTAATTACTAACATACGTGAGATAAGATAACTAGTGCACAGAAGACATTCTACAAGCGTTCGCATTATTTCAAACACAAGAGTGGAGAAAAGGCCGTCATTTCGTGTAACGGCCTCGGTCAAGGTCAAAATGTCTCTCGTTTAGCGCCATTGATCTCTGCTGAGTCCTAGGCGAGGCGAGTAAACCACTTAGCGCGCATGGAACCCTGGTCTATATGTAATGGCATTTTCTCGCCACATTTTTTTTTTATTTCGTTTTCTTTTCATGGTTTAATTTTTCAATTTCATGCATGAGAAATTACAATATACACTGAATTGTACATGGAAAATTTAACTTATGAAAAACATACACGATTGTGCCCGAACACAAGCATGGTTGCGATTAGGGGGTCGTACACACACACGCACACACACACACAAACACAAAAGCAGACACACGCACACACAAACACACACACAAAAACACGTGATTGTGGCCACAATAATCATAAATTATTGTGGCCGAACTCAAGCACGGTTCTGATTGGGGGTCGTACACACACGCATACACAATAAAATAACTTTTTAAGTTTTAATATCCATCTTCATTTAACTAGTTTAGTCTCTCGAGAAATCTAAAAATAGCCAAACATTGTGGCCTTTGAGACAAATAAAACAAGAAATTTGTATTGAGGGGGGGGGGGGGGGGGGGGGAAACGGTTCATCCTTAGGGGCCTTAACTCGAAATGAACTTTTTTTGCTACGTAAGAGTGCAGGCGCAATTGAGTTACCCAAATTTGTTGTGTATTTTTTAATTGTCTTTTCGTGTTTTTTTTTTTTGAGTTTGATGGTGAATTTATGGACTAGGAATAAAGGAGGGGTTATCAAACAGGTTTTGAAAAGGCACAAGGGTTTACAATGCAATGGTTACCTATATGTTACTATATGATATAGGTGCCATGAGGATATGATGTGGTTTGAAGGATAAAAAATAATATTCATTTGGTGGATGAGTAAGTTATGGATGGGGGTATGGGCTATAGGTTGGGTGTGGATAGGATATATCAGGGGTCTCCAAACTACGGCCCGCGGACCGGATGCGGCCCGCGAGGTCCTCTCATCCGGCCCGCGGAGATCTTTTTGTCCACGGAAAAAATCGTTTGTTGGTGATGGCTGAGGAGCTTTGTCCTGAAAAATCAAAGACATGTCTGGAACTAACTGGCCCTTGAACTGAAAATTGATAGTTGAGGCCCTCAGACTGTAAAGTTTGGAGACCCCTGGGATATATAAAGGGTTGAGGGGGGGGGGGGGGGGGGTAAAAACGTGAGTTTGGTTTACAGTGTTTCTTCCATACTTTTTTTTTTCGGGAGTGCACTTGAAATTTTCGGTGGGGGGGGGGGGGCGGACTAAAATTTTCGGGCTGGCGGGACAGACCCTGTCAAAAGTATATGTTTTCTATATAAATT